TATCACTCTTAAAAGCTTCCTTTAAAATTTCTATCATTCAAATACTGGCTGGGGAAAATGTAAAGTACAGACAAGCATATTTTATGCACTTGCTAGTCTAGTTTTTATGCTGATGAGAACCTACTAAACACCAGTGGAGAGAATAGCAGTTATCAGCCCTAATTCACAACAGTGAAATTTTTAGGCCAAACAGATGCCCTTGCAGAATCACAGCCAAGTGTTAATGACAGGCCCAGTCCTTCTTCCACTGTAGTCACTAGTCATTTCGTACGGCTTCAAATGAGACCAGGTTTGCTCCAACCCTCTGAGCAAGCACACTGCTTTCAGTGAGACACTCATTGCCACAGGGAGCAGGATAGGGACCTCAAACATCACCCAAAGAAAAGAAAACAGAAAAAGTCACTGTACTTTGCCTCAGGCTTTTTTCTTTGATGTATAGGAGTCTTCTTTTAAATTCTTTTTTCAGTTGGTTAAAAATAATGGGAAGCAGACCTTCAACATGAAACCAGCTAAATACACTAAGAGATCTCTTTTAAAAGACATTTAAAATCTCCTCAAAATCTGTTCAGTGAATTTTGCCATCACTTACACCCGTACAACAGAACAGCTTGGAGCTCCCCCTGGTAACAGAGGACAGACAAGAAGGGTTGGTGCCCACGTTTAGCTCTGTGTTCCCAGACCCACCCACCAGTAGGAGAGTCTGCAAGAGCGCTGAACAGGCAGGACCTCAGTCAAGAGCTTTATACTGCAAAAAATCTTTGTCAGGCAAATCTATTCTGTTGTCTTTAAAAAGGATTCAGAGTAAGAAAATTTAAGCCCAGGTGTAAACATTTGGAAACTGAGGTTTATTTTTTTCTATCTATGCACTTGAAATGAACATTGAAAGGGCAAAACCATCCTAATCCTATCATGGCAATGTCTTCCTCTGCTTCCTAAAGCTGAGATTATCATCTCATTGGTTGTCACACAGCTCCTGAGAGAAGAAATTCACTTGATTTTCCTGTATAATCACAGCACAGGATTTTACTTCTGTTGTTATTGGAATGGAAAATGCACACAGCCTGTTCTCTGTCTTGCCCATTTTAAGTTACTTACAGAGCTGGATGTGGCAAGCCTCGTAACAGCCCAAGCTAAAGAAAGCTAAATCTGTGCTTACAGTAAGTGTCAAGCAACCTGCTTGTTAGCAGCTCTTTTCAACAAAGGCAGGAAAATTTTCAGTTTGAAATTTCTGCTCAAATTAAGGCAATGAAGACTGAAGACCACAAAACTGTTGCCATTGCTTTCCAGCACATAAAATTAACAATTTGTGCTGCTGCGTGCAACTTTCAGTCAAAGTTTGTCTGATTTATAAGCAAGCAGATGGTTCACACGATAGTCCACAATAAATTACAACAGTTAGAAAGACAGCTACATTTTGAGAGTGACAGTGCAGCTGAGCTACAGATGGGTTTATAGATGACCCTTCCAATTTTTAATAATCTCCATAATTTACGTGCAAGTAAAGAAATGTGAAGATTCCTAACGCACCTTCTTGACTAAGTACAAATCAGTTTTATTTACCCAGTCAATACTTCATGGTCCAGTTAACTTCTTAATTAAAGGCAGCAAGATGCTCATGTTCCATGCAAGTGGCATGGAAAATACTGTTTAGTGTGCAATATGTTCAGCTGGGAGCTTAAGATGCTCTGATCACCCCTGGAAAAAGGAATGCATCTATCTCATTTCTTTAAAACAAGACTACAAGGGTGCAAACACTGCTACCACCAGTTACTATTCATTAATCTCCAGATAAACTTTAGGCCCATGCAGTAACAAGGTTTTGTTTATTTGCAAGCTCTGATGCTTAGAAATAGGCTCCTAATCCAGGAGGCACTACAAACTGACTATTACTGAGCCAGGACTAGGACGGGGAAACAACAGGAACAGAGACTCTCGGTACATGAAGAGAGAGGGATTTGGGGGGGGTCACTCTTGACTGGGTAAGGGAAAAGGAAAGTGAGCCTGGAGGGTGTCATTCCTGGACAGGAGGCAGCGGTGATGCAGAAAGAAACTGGCTGGAAGCAGCTTTAAGAAGCCAGTTCATGTCAGTAATTTTAATGGCCACTTCTCCAGCACAGGACTGAACCACTTTGGTGCGATCCTTCTGCTAACATTTTTGAACGGACTCCCAGAAAGATGCATTTGTTGGGTTGCCATCAATTGCATGCCACAGTACAACAGATTCAGTTCTTCTTGGTTGTAATTTCAGTTGCAATGAGTTACCTTCCAAAAGGAGCACAGCTAAACGCAACTACTGTGTCCAGAAGGTGACGTGAAGAGGACAGTACCTACTAGAGCTCTTTAAGGCAGCAATTACAGAAGCTCAGAGGTTCCCACACAGCCAGTCTCTTTGGATGACATTTGAGGGCTTTTCTTCCTCTCTAAACCTTGGTCTTCCCTTCCTGCCAAATTAATTCAAAAAAGCAATCCACTTTTAAGTGGAAATCCAAAACTGTCTTTAAACCAGGAGGCACAGCTCCTAGGAAAGCAAGTCTGTGTGTAGTTTTAATTACCACCTTCCTGGGACTTAAGAGATGTAACAGAGAGGCACCAGTGACAAATTCAGGCTTTTCGGAATTATCACAATTCATGTTTTAGAAATATTTTGGCAGGGATTGCCCTGCTGTGCCCACAGCAGGGCAGCATGGGGAGCAGCACTGCAGAGACACGAGTGGGGAAAACCCACTCCACAGAGGTCACGGGACTGCAGCCATTTACACAAAAAGCGATTCTTCCCCTGCCATTTCCACACAGCACCAGTGCCCCTTCATCTACTACACAGAACGACAGTGAAATTAATTCTTTTTTTTTAAATGAAAGTCTTCTATAAATAACCACCGTCTGAAAGTCTTTTGAGCTTTATATAAAACCATTATCTATTACTGTACACAACTCTTCGGTTGTTTAATTAAACATATGAAAAATATTATATGTCAGCTTATTTCTGGGATGCTCTTTACTGTTATTTGTCATATTGTTTCTGTTACACTTTGCATATTTAAAGCCACGTTATGCACTTCTGAAAAGCCAGAGAAGATTAGAATGGAATTAGTAAGGATGTTCATCTGTACTACTGAGTGCTGAGTTTGGCACTTTATTTTAGCAATATTCATCAAGTTCAGGAATTGCTAGTACGCTTCCCTCCAAGAGAATACTGGGTCACACTACTGTTCTTTAAAAAATATAGCGTTGATTATTTAATAATATTTTTAAATATTCCATAGCTGTCATCCTTTGACTGACTGCAACTCTTTCGTTGCTTACAAGAGGCCAAATTCACACATAGCACAAGAAAGCAGAAGTTGATTGAAAACAATAGGATTGCCCCTGTTGCCTCCAGCCCAACAGTAATTTCAGCATTATCATGAGCAACCTGAAAGCCAGCACAGGCTATTCCAGTTTCACTCCACTGAGAAGTCAGAGAAACTATGCACATGGTTTATGTAACTTTATAGTTAATACAGTTTCCAGGACTCATCTACTGAAGCCAGCAGAGATGCTCCAGCTCACTAGGCTGTAGATCAGACCTTCTGGCTTGCAACTAGATCCTTCTCTGGTTAACAGCAAAAATAATCCTGGAGGTGGGATAATGCAAGGAACACACACAAAAGCCTCACTTTATATTTCTTGTTCCTTGCATTCATTACACTGCCAATGGTGCGGAAACTAGTTTCATAACCTCAAGAAGGGGACACCTTTTGTCCGCCCTGCCGTACTAAAATGTAGATCAATGTGATAATATGTAAACAGTAAACTCCCCACTAGCAAGAAGTGATTCTCAGTTCTCTTAGTAATCAAATACTATTTCCAGCAATCTAACTAGAGAAAAAGAAATGTAAGTAGCAATTTGTCAGTCTATCTATCAAACTGAGTGCTGCACCTTTTCCACACATTTTACATTACAAAGTGTATGACATGTAAGGTTCTGCAGTTCTGTTTTAATTCAGGGATGAAAACATTTATAGATATGAACGTTTTCTCATTAACTTTTCTTCCTAAATGATTATGCTTGTTCAAATCAATTCGTAGCCATCTTACAGAGGTTACAACCTTCAATAATTAAATCGGATATTGTATTGGATGTTGTGTTGATTATGCTACAAGTTCCAATTCCTACAAGACCACTGAAATGCTGAGATAAAGGGATGTTAACTTTATTTAATTAGCTATCTGCCATTGTTATCAAAATGGAAGGTTGGTATCTGACTCAAATTAACACTTTGGATCAGGAAACAAGATAGATGACATCTTCTGAGAGGGATCCTGGAAACTCTCTGTAATCGTTTCAGTTATTTTAAAGCTGCTCAGGACAAACAGGGTTGCATTAGAAAGAGTAAAAGTCACTGACAGTCAATGAAGTGCTGCTATGAAAATGCTATTTCAATCACACATGGGTTCTTTCTCATTTTCAGTTGTTAACGTCCTTGCCACTTTTGTCAAGCAGTCTCTCCTAGCAGCATTGAATGTTAGCTGCCATAATTTTAAAACACAACATGAAATAGGACTGAGCACATAATAGGGGTTTATTGTGCCAGCTAACAACAGATCAGGCCCTTGTGCCAAGGCATCACCTCTCTGCTCTCTGCAGAAAAGGAGTAACTAGTTAAACGCAAACTGGATTTCACAACTGCCTGCCATCCCTCTACCTCAGAAACATTAGGTATCTCGGTTGAGGGTTGTTATGATTTAACTCAAAACGAGACAAAAAGACAGTGCGAGATCTCAGCGGTCCTGGAGGCATTTTAACTACAAACTAAACCTATGTGTATCAACCTTGCAACTGCCCAGAGTATATAGTATCCAGATGAAGTACCTGAAGGACACCCACTGTCTCACTCCCCAAACTGCATTTGTATAGATTGGCCAAAGCAATTTATCCGATAACTACACCACCCTGCCACTTCATGGTTTGTTACAGTTAGGGCTACGGAAATGTGCTTATTCCTTTCCCAACAACTTACTGGTCTTGACCGGATTTCTTTGGCGTAGAGAGGTTTCAAGAATTCTGAATCTCCTTCGAGCTTTAGACCCTTTTCCGTGATTCTCAGGTTCCCCATTCCATCCTAAAGCACAGACAAAAGGAAACAACCCCATTAGTTACAATTACTAAATTCACCAGGCTGCCAATAGCTGATTTTTTTTTTCCCCATAGAGAAGAACATGTAAAGCACTGGGAGGCACTAGAGAATGCAATTACTTGTGTTATCCTTTTAGTTCTGTTTCTGTGAAAAAAATTTCCATTCAGAGCAATCTGCAATGCCCCCCAGTAAACCATTTACACAGATGAAAGATGTTCGCTTAAGCTAGTTGTCTCTACTCAAAAAGACGCAGCGATGCTCTGCGTTAACAGGAAACTATTCACTGTAATATTCACTGGTTGCCTGTATATTAATATACCTTCTCATTCATAGCAAATCCATATAAAGACTATGTGATTAATTCTACTGAACTCCATATAGACAATATGTGATTAATTCCACTGAACTGACAAAATAAGGTTTGGCTATGTAGGAGTATTGCAATAAAATGTGGTAGGGAACTTGACCCCTGTTATTTGGGGAAATCTCTCCAAAACATGGACTCTTTGGTGGGTTTTCTTTAGGGCTACTGACCCTTACAGCAAAAAGATGTGGAAACCTGCCGATCAGTTTCAAGTCTCACAGTCCTTCCTGTGCTTTAGATATTGTTAACATGCTATACAGCTTTACTGGAATATACATTTATGTAAATATTTGCTCTGGGAGAAGCAACTACATGACAGGAGTATCTTTCCAACAGATGGCTCTCCTGTCTTGGGCTAAATCCTGACTTTTCTCTCCCACAATGATCAGCTCAGGATCAGAGCCCTCGCTCTGCTCCTTGCACAGCCCAAGCACATCCCAGCAATCTGAATCTCTACATCCAAACGGTTGGGTCTCCTGTGTCATTCTCCTGCCCTTCAAACAACCATTGCAAAGTCCCTTGGCCAGGCATTAAGTGATTGATGTAACATGCATTTGTGTCCTCTCCTCATTTGGATTTCATAGTTGCAGCTACCAGTCCTCACCCTCACCCCAGCCCTGCACTCCAGTCTCCATCGCTCCCTGCGCTTCCATGGAAAAAATCTTGACAAATGGCATGAAGTGTTGGCTGCAGGCCTCCAGCAGATGACTGGAAATTGTTCATTTTCTTTAGAAATTGTTTAGTTATGTGTGTCCAAGATGTAATGAAACATCTGACAAACCATAATAGGAAACAAAATATATGTCAAAATTTTGTATGAGTTTTTCTTACGCTTTTTATGCAATAAGGCAGGTATACGGATCATTGGCACAGAGCAGAATTGGACCAAACTGTATTTCACCTTTAACTTGTGAAAGTCAGAACTTTTACTAAGATGAGGGGTTTAGGTTCATTTAGGCTATAATTGCTTAGAAAGGGGTGTGTGTATAAGAAACATGGTGTGGGAAGGGAATTGCAAAGGTAAATGTATAATCAAAACCACATCAAATGCAAAGTATTATTTCTAAGAGTCAGGGTGATTGCCAAAGTCTGCAAGGATTGAGGTAAGTTGGGTTTTTTCTCTGAGAAAAAGATGGTCTGAAGAATACTTTTTAGCACAAATTTGACTGACATCACTACGATTTGAGACTGATGCTAGCAAAAGCTATGTTTCCACATGTATAAATTAAGATTGGGAAATAACTGAGAGTTGGGTAGTCAAGAACTGCCATGACAATCCTCAAACATACCCCTTAAGGAATCTTTCCACCTGGGTTTTTTTTTTCCCATTTCTCCAGGTTAAAGAAGCAGCAGGATGATTCTATATGATGCCTCGGGCCTCCAAGACAAGGCAGGATACAATAATCACAAAAACTACAATAGCTGGAGCTCAGCGTGGGGAGGACATTGCAGTGAAGGACACACACACCAGCACTAACAGCAACGGGATTCATGTTGCAATGAGAGAGATGTTGAAACCAAGGGTCATGCAGGCCACAGGATGGCAGTAGCAGTAATTTGGAGGAATTACTGACCTATAAATATGGACACGCCATACTGACTCCATGACAGCTCATCATGCAATTTAGGGAATCACTGAGAGGGACTGGGCTGCCGCCTTCTCAATTGCTGCTAGACATGTCCTTAAACACTGAAGTCCAAATCGAAAAAGCCACCTCAGTGCCTAACACAGCTGTTTCAGGGATTTTAGAGGAAAGGGGTATGTACTTGGGTAGAAGCCCTAAGACGATTAAGAGAAGACTGGGAAAATCCAGGAAAACCACATGGATTTGGATATACATATTGCATGTTTTCGAATCCAGCTGCAAATAATAAAACACATCTGTCTATTTTCTCTTCTTCCCATTGCGTGTGCACCTCCAGCACCACAAGAGGAATCACTGTCACTAAAGGTGAATGGCTAACCAAAACAGATTTGAATGAACTATTGCCAAAAGGCATGGATTTGGAGGGACAAAAATCAAAAGCATAGCATGGCTCAGCAGTGACACTGGTCACTTGCCAGAGGTCGTCCCGTTCCAAGAAGTATCGCTCCCAGGGTGCACCCTGCCAAGCACAGATCATTTTTGCCAGAGCGTGGTGTCTTATGAACAAAGGCAGGCTCAGGAGTTCTGGGCAATAAAATGACTGCTGTCATCTCATTTGGAAATGAAAGCTGTAAGTAAACTTTAAATAGAGACATATGCTGAAAATGCTATTGATTGTTGAAGGGAGGGGAATGAGAGATGGGTCATAAAGTGCCACTTGCTACATTCCTTGTCCTGGGTATAAAATACTGGCTTATGAATTCTGGGTTGGTGGTAGCACAGAAGGGGTTCATTTATCTCAAGCAAAAGGATGAAGGAAAATGAGTGAAATATGATTATGCTCCAAAGAGCCCAGATTAAATTTTGATAGTGGTATGCTTTGCGATTTGAGTGAGCAGGAATTATTACAGCTATCTGCAGACCCTCACACATTTTGTGCTGCTAAAAAAACTCTAGAATTTTTTTTTCCCAAAATAGATATTTCAGTAAGGTTACAAGCCCTGAGGGCTTTCACATTGCAGGCTCTTCTCTGGTTTCGTTAAGAAAAGTTGCAGGTCATGCGAACTGGTATATGCCACATACAGGTGCAAGAATGACCACCCCTGTGGATACACAATCCTGACCACTTCCAGGGCTCACTCCTGAGCAGAAGTAGGGCAATACTTCACCAGTCACATGGACCAATGGATAAAGGGACTTGTCAAATCACCACTGAAGCTGTGGCAAACCAGCAATTTTGATGGCTCACAACTATATTCTATCCCGAGTAGTGATACAGATCCAGCATTCCACTCCACTCTTGTCTTGCGTGTTTCTCATCCTTTCTCTCCTTCACCCTCTGTCTCCCAAGTGTCCCCCACAGGACTTTTATATATGAAAAACACACATATGGGACATTTAGGTCACAGCTAGCAGGTCCTACACATCCCAAAAGAGGTATCAGGCCTATAGGACGACGTACTACAACCAAAACATCAAGAACACATTTGATTTATATAATATAAGCAGGCGTATTCTCTTACAAAACCACTGGGTTGGAGAAAGAGAGACATTTCCCATGTTATTCTTCTCAACCTTTGATGCCTTCCAACCTCCAATCCCCTCTCGCCTTTCTCTCCTCCTGTGGCTGCCAAAACTAATAAAAGTTGCACCCACCAGACATTATCTCTTGACTTCCCTGGTGTTTGGGATCGGGATGCAGTGCTCAGCACTGACTCTTACCACGATTAACTCTCTGCTGCTCACGTTCCTCATGATTAAAGATGACAGCTTTTGGTAGTGACAGTCTGGGTCAGCAGGTCAAAAAACAAGCAGAGGTTGTAATCTGAGTTTAAAGTTAATGAGTATCCTGGCCTCTTATAGCACAATCATTATTAAATCATATTCATTTATTATTTCCCATTAGAAAATGAAATAAGCAGCTTACAGAATTACATAGAAATCCCAAAATATAGATACATTATAGAGCAATCATTGTATGAAAGACTACCTCACATGTTGTTTTGGATAAAGTATCTTCATCCTCCCTAAATCATATGGTTTAATAACAAATAAATGTCATACTCTGCTACAGAGAATGTATCTGAAAGTTCCTATGAAATTTCATGGACCGTGACCTATAAAATGTAGCAGAAGGCTAGCTAGAGTGACAGAGACCATGAGATTTTATTAAACATTGTGTCTGTGATTGGTATATATCCTTATCTGCCACTCTACTGCTTGTGAATAAGGGGAAAAAAAAAAAGTAGGATTGATTATTTGATACACTGACATCTGACAATCTTTGTTTCTCCCCTTTTTATTAGTAGAGTCCTCACTGGAGAGTGAATGACTTTATTGTGCAGGCACTAAGCAGCTCTGTGGGAGCTTCCAGGAGGCAAGCTTCAAACAGGAGGCACAGAGTCGGGAGATTTCCATTACAACCTGCTTTGAATTATTTGGCTTTTTGGTAGGGCACGGTGAAAAATTCCAAATCAATTTTATCATCTACGCCACCTCTCTTTTTATACAATGCCTTGTAATGCGCAGGCATAAAAATTTATGTGCTGTTGCTGACCGCTCTGTGTTGAAAGGGGAGAGCAATGGTAAAATCCTGAATAACATAAATGTTGTTTCAATGATGCTGAATGAGAAAGGATTTTTTTTTCTTTTTATTAGCTTGAGAAGCAACTCAGTTTAACAATCAATTACAAATGACAGTGTTAGTGTTAGGGGAAGAGCCCAGCACTGCTGCTATGTGATCACCAAGGCTCCTCTCTGCCTTGTGGTTAAGCACTGTGGCTACACATGTGGGTAAAGCCTAGCTTTTTTTTGTTTTCCTTTTTAATAGTTGTGGGTTACTTTCACCTTTTTTTTTTTTTAATTGTATGGCTGGTAGCAGGGAGATTCAGTTAACAGAATAAGAAAAAACAGCCAACCTAACCAGAGACACATAATTGCTGTGGTAAACACCTGGAAGCGGCATGAGCCACACCAATCTGGGCCGCTCACACATAGGAACAGGGGTAATTTTCAGTGGTGTCTGCCATCCACGG